CAGTATGTAAATTAGGTACCGTAAGTCTAATACAGTACTGTAATTTTATACATTTCTTGTGAAAGAAACATTTCTTATTCAACGGCAATTAAAATTATTTATATTAATGATGTCTCCAAAGTTCAGCGAAGTTTTCGCAGAAAAATAACATCAGAAATCATGGCCGCGGTTTGCTGAGTTGTTCTGCGATGAAAACAAGCTTGAGCAATGGCGATGTCGAATGGTGCACACTCGGTAAGTAATCCTATAATTTTTTGTTTATAGCGTAGTTTATACGGATTATTTCCAAAAAAAATATACGTATTTTGGAAATGTTGAGTCAGATTAGTCTGGAATCGATTAATTTTATGGAAGAAAACCTTTCAAACAGCTGTAGTCTGTAAACTTCACATGTGTCGAGCTGTGATTGGCTGTGATTCCTACAAAATCGGATTCATAAAGAACAGAACGTATCTACCGTCTTATAGGGGGATCTACTGTATTAAAAATACATTTAGAAAAGTCTACGGTTTTTACTGGCTTATCAAATAAACAATACAAATGGACCCTAGACCATCACTGATGCGCAATTAACTGATTGCCCTTGGAAGTCGGCTTCTTACAGAAACACAGCTTCCCTATCATCAAATGTCATGGCACGCCACTGCTAAGATTACAAAGGTAATTTTTTTTGTGTCAAAAGCAATCAAAGAATGATATTTCCTTTTGACTTTTACTTTATATAATGAAAATGTATCTTTAATTTTTTAAGACTTTATACAAAAACTTTTAAAATAAAAAGTTAAGAAAATAATCAATAAAAGAAAAACAAAATCAAATTCATATTTTGTTATAATTATTAAGCTTTCTAATTATGATGTACAGTTAGCTTTCATAAATTTTATTATTTTTTTCATAATATAAAAATATTTAGAAAAAATATAAAATATTTATTGTGAAATTTATTAATTATTCTAATATTAAAGGTTTTAACTAAATTAGATAGTAAATAATCAAAGATCCTTAAATTTTTAAAATACACTTACAAGATTTAATTTTGTATGACTAACAGGTAACAGAGGCCTTTGAAACTTCTTCTGTGAACCTACAGCACTTGCTAATGGAGGTGCTGAAAGACTAGCAGCTACCAGATTCAATGTATCTACCCAGCTCTGAAGTTCTTTGGAATCACTATAATTCAGTCAAAATAAAAATCTTGGTTCATAAAATAAAGTATTGGGAAATGATTATTATTAGTGACAATGTTAAATTTTTATAAATTTTCATTAATTATATAATATTAAATTTTATATTTAATAATCTTAAAATAAATATATTTTATGATGGCTAATTATAAAAGAAACCAAATAAAGTTTATGACATAATTGTTGCCACTATTAGCCAAATATTGGCTTTTTAATTTTTGTCTTTTGTTTACTGTAATTAATATTTCAAACAATTTAGTTAGATCTTACCATATTTTTGTGGAATGACTGACATGCCGGTCTATCTGGGAGACCAGGAAATCAGATATTTTCATATGGTAAAAGCTGGCATGCCAGTTTAAGTGAGGTTATATTGGGTTGTTCGGAAAGTAATTTCAATTTTTTTTTACCACTAGATGGATTAGTTGTATTTTTCCCACCATTTTCATTCTAATGTGGCAGTACTCCATCCCTATGTACATAGGGGTTAAATATAAGTTTTATATTAATCTAAATCCTTTGTCTTTCACGTCTCTGTTTCTAGAACTTTCTCATTTATTCTTTCTCTATGGGTGGGGGCAACCTTTGTCCAAGAACAAAAAGAGGAAACAAAGAAAAACAAAAAATCCCCCGAAGGCATCAAGGAAAGAGAAAGGGACATTTTCTGGACAGCGTCCAAGGAGAGCAGACAAAGAAAAGGACAGGTCGAAGTTGTCGCCAAGTGGGACAAAGAGCAGACTTGAGGTCGTCTGAGAACGAACGAACTGGACTGATGCTAAGATTGAGACTTTGAGAATACCTTGAATTTTCAAGAGCTGGTACAGAAAGGAACCAAGAGGAAAGCGAATTGAGCACAAGTTCCAACGTCAAGGAGATTGGTGGCTTTCGAAATACCCGGGTACCCCACCAACCTTTCTCTTATACTTTTCTTATCCCTTCATATTTCTTCTCTTTCACTCTTCTTCTTTAGCATATAAGTTAGGTTAAGATTGTTTAAGTTAATCATAATATTACAGAGATATATCTCAAAGTAAGCTTTTTGTTTGTCGTGAAGACTTGTCACCCGCCTTTGTTAATATAAAGGATATATTGGACTGTATTGGATATATAAGAACTACATAGTTTGGGATCCTAAAAAACCGAGTGTATGTAGGACCACGTGAAAGTAAAGTAAAAATAAATCCTTTTTTTAATCGTTACAACTTTGTAATTTATTGTTTGTCTTCTACACACCACACTAAACTGTATTATCATTGTATATTTTGACAGCTAGCATTTTAAGGCTTATTTGTAAAAAGTTTTGTTTGATTTTGTGCAATTGTTTTTTTGTGTCCCATCAAATATAGAAGATTGAAAGCAGCATTTTCGGCATATTTTGCTCTTTTATTACCAAAAAGGTAAGAATGCTGTTCAAGCGAGAAAAAAATTGTGTGACGTGTATGGAGAAGATGTATTGACAGAACAACAGTGCCAAAACTGGTTTACAAAATTTCGTTCTGGCAATTTCAATATTGAAGATGGACCCACGTTCTGGATGGCCAGTTGAAGCCAATGAAAACAAAATAAAGGTACTGATTGAAGCAAACTGCGAATAACAACAATGAAATCACTAAGAGATTAAATTTGTCAAATTGAACCGTTTATGGTTACTTGAAACAAATTGGTTTCGTTTCAAAGCTCGACATATGGGTTCCACATGTTCTTAAAGAAAGATGCTCTCTTTGGTGGGATTTTAAGAAAATTTTTTTTGGAGCTTCTACCAGACAATTTAACAATTAATGCAAAAGTGTACTGCCATCGAGTAAACAAATTGAGTAATATCATCAAACAGAAAGGCAAGCCAGAATTGATCAACAAAACAGGTGTAGTGTTTTACCACAATAATGTCAAATTTCATACAAGTTTGGTAACTCATCAGAAACTATTATAACTTATATGGGATGTGCTATCACACCAACCATATTTGCCAGATGGAGCACACTCAGATTATTACTAGTGATGTAACGAATATTCGATTACTATTCAGTATTCGGCCGAATACTGATTAAATATTCGGTATTCAGCCGAATACCAAATACCTAAAAACAGGAATTAGAAATAACAAAAACAGTAAATTAATCATTTTAGTATTTAGATTTAATGTTATTGGGTTAGTGTTGTTTGTTTATATTTATTTATAACTTATAACATGCACAAAATAAAAAAGAACATAATATTAGTCACTTGTATTCACAATTTACAATTACAAAGATCAGCACATGTACACACCTATTCGTTCGAGAATTGTCGCACATCTGAGGGTCTGACCCTGCCTATCCTTCTTTTTAAGTGCTCTTCCCTTTCTCTTTCTTCTATTGCTCTAGTCTATATAATACGCGCTCGCTCACGATACTTTAGATTCGTCACTTTTCCGTCATAGATTTCCCATTTTACAATTACGTGACTCATAGCCTGGTGATAACGAAGAAAAGAGACAAATAGGATGTCGGTATAAGTCACAGTTATGATTTCACAGATTTGAAAAAGCTCGGTAGCCCAAACCACCCCAGGCTTTTGCCTGTGCATTCTAAGTGACTTTCATTACAAGCATTTAGCTTTTCGAAGTCTATGACAACAATTATTTGGCATTCACAGCCGCGAATTTCGCACAAATAAGCTGCCTCGACTTGTTTGAAGTAGCTTATTGAGTTGATAACATAATCGACTTGATCGATTATGTTATCAACTCAATTTCATATTTATTTTCACATTTTCACTTTGCGGTCCTTCTCTGTTCTTCTTCTGTTATTAGCACGTGTAGGTCATTTCATTGTTATCCAGATTTGATATCATCACTTACCATAATGCTCTTGTCTGAACTGTCAAGAATTAACGTGATTGGCAAAGCGTAGTGACAGTGGGTCAATAAAGAGCAGGCCATAATGCTTGCCATAATGCAAATTTTGTGCACCAATTTTTGTACGTGTGTTAATCAAGCCGAATAATTTGGCCGAATATTCAGCTATTCAGCCACGCTCCTGGCCGAATATACTATTCNACATATTCAGTTTATTTAATTAATTTAATAATAATCATCTAATAAAACACTTCATAAATTTCAATTTATACAATTTTTTTTTTCCTTGGAAGTAAACCATTTCCACAACTGTGGAATTAAATCACATCTTTTATGTTCATTGCTTCATTTTTTAAGACTCTATAAATCAATTTTTCTGCTGTTCTAATGCTCTGACTACAATCTCATCAAAAAAAGGAAATTTTTATTATTTTCCATTAAAACATCATTGTACACAATGATTATTTTATTCAAATAAGACTACTGTATACAGTTGACCTCCCCTATAACACTGTTGATAATTCCATTTGCGTTTATATTCCTGTCCTTCAACATATACGGAAATTTCACTTTGACAAATTGTAAATATTATAATTTTTTTTCATAAATTTCATAATATAATCATATATACTACTACATCAATATGTGTTAACATTACTCTTCATGCAAAATATATGTCTCGCAAAACTTAAAAGTCTTTATAATATACACAAAACTGTGCTTAACCATAATAATTTAAAATGAGATGTAGTAGTATTTCTAATCTTATGTTCAATCTTAAACATGTATAAACTGGTTATGCTATTGTGGTACCAGTGATGCAATATCGTTGCATTAATTAATAAAAAGATTGTGTGTGTGTGTGTGTGTGTGTGTGTATTTTTGGAAATGTATTGATAACAAATAATACTTAAAAAAGAATAAGCTTTTCATACAAATTTAATTAATTTATGATTTTGTTCAAATAAAAATACTCTAGTTAATTTTGAAGGTTCTAAGTAATAAAAATATGAAATTTATATTTAATAATAATAATTATATAAATCTATAGATTAATCAGTATATTAATATAGGATATCAAATATAATTCAATTTACATTTACAGTATATCCAAACTTTTTAATTATGGTGTTAATTTAATATTTTAGTAGAACCTCAATAAAAGTATGTATATATTCAAATATTTAAAGATAATTACTAATGATGCAATGAATATTCAGTTACTATTCGGCCAAATACCGAATACCTAAAAACAGGAGTAAGAAATAACAAAAACACAGTAAATTAATCATTTTGGTAACTTTTATTGATGCTTAACATACATTTCAAGTTCGAGAAAGCGCAATTTTTTGCTTATTTATGTAAAAGATCAAAGGAAAATTAATATAACTAAGTTATTTTTTTAAGAGATCAAAAAAAGGTAACAAATCAAACAAAAACTACCTACTTATTATGTAGTTTAGTCATCTATATACTTGTATATAAAAGAACAAGTCCTGATACGATAATTAACGCAGAGTCAAAACTACTGGTGCTAGAAACTTAAAAATTTGAGGGTGTGTTCCTTTTGTAAAGTTTAGGCATGCTAAGAAAAGATTTTATGAAATTCAATCCTAAAGGGATAAAAAAGGGTAAAAAATTTGTATGAAAATTGTTACTGTGTGGATACATTAGATTGAAACTTAGGTCATAAAATGTGAAAAAAAAAAAAAAATTAATGATCTGCAAAGCATTTTTATGAAATCATCCCTTATTATAAACTTGAAAATTAAATTAACTTTTTCATTTCATTGTACATTACTAAAATTATTTATCATAACTGAAGTTAATAGGTGGTAAGTTATGGTGCAGAAAAATCAACTTTTCCACATTTTTGGGAAGAAGTATGTTCCTCTTTTCTTTGTATACGTTTCCTGCTTCACTAAAAATCCTCTCTGAATACACACTGCTTGCAGGAACTGATAAGTACTTAGCAGCCAGTTTGACTAAAAATTGAGAAAATTTAGGTTTATGTGTAGCCCACCAGGCAAATGGATTGTCGTTTCTCTTTAAAGTTTTAATGCTCAAGTACTTATCAAGGTCATCTGCCATGGTGTTCTTTGAAGTCGAAGCTATTCTGACTCCATTGTCATCATTGGTGAAGTTCTCAGCAACTACTACTTCATCATAGCACTCCCAGAAAGATGTGCAAATGCTTTGTCCAGGCTCATCATTTCTTTTACGTTTAGACTGCACGGAAGAAGAATGCATGCTTTCATTGCTGCTGGTATCATAGTCTGAAAGTAAATCTTCAAGCAGAATGTACTGCTGGGCTCTTTCTTTTTGCAGTTGGTTCGTGAAGAAATTCGTCTTAAACCTTGGATCTAACAAAGTTGATATCAGGTAGTTTTTATTATTGTCAATCTGTGAAAAATGTTGTTTTATCCTTTGTTGCATGGCAATCGCCATAGACTTTAATTTAGATGCAAGATCAGAAGACACAGCCTTGTCACAGTAGCGGTTGAGAGTAGCAACATTGGAAATAATTTCAGATAAGCAGAAGTAGTTTGAGCTAGTAATTTTTGTTATCTCTTCAAATGGCTTTAATAATATCAGTAATTGGTCTACAATCTCTCACTGCTCTGCAGTCAGATTAGATATGTTTGCTGTATCAGTTAGATAGAGGGAAATAGCTCATTTTTGTTCAAGAAGCCTTTCTAACATATAAAAGGTAGAATTCCACCATGTTGTTATATCTTGCACTAAATTATGCTTGGCTATTCTCAGCTCTTCCTGAACTTTTTTCAGTTTTTCTTGCAGTACTTGAATGATTAAAGTGGGTTACTATTTTTCGTCCCACATCAAGTTTCTTTGACCTCAGGTTGAATTTTGAGTGTGTCTTTGATTACCAACTGTAGTGTATGTATTTTCGACAATTTTTGTACGTGCATTAATCAAGCAGAATAGTTTGGCCAAATATTCAGTATTCAGCCTGAGGCTGAATATACTATTCATTGCATCATTAATAATTACCATAAATGTTTATTAAATCATTTAATATGAAAAACAATGTTCACAAAATTTTGTAACCAATAGACAATGTATTTATCTTTAATCTAATTGAAATTTTCTGTAAATTGATTCACCTCAAACTGCAAATAAGCTTCTTTCTCAGCAAATTCATGGAAAAATCTTGATCTGGAACCTTTTTCTGGAGCATGTGATTGATGTTCATCCAATTCTTTCTGTAACCAAACTATTCTATTCTCATGATCTTGTAACTGTTCTCGCTATAATAGCAAAATTAATTCACAGAAGTTAAGGTTTATAGTCAAATTAAATTACTAAAATTTCCAATTTATTTAGCAAATGTCTAAAAACTTTAAAACATTTCAGATTAATTACTACTACTGTTATCATACTGGATATAAATATCGATTAAATATATTAGTTAATAGATTTGATTTTTATAAATTAAGTTATAAAATCAAACATTATCTTAAATTACATAAATAAAATAAAATATTAATTAAACAGCAAACCTCTACTAATTCAAACTAATAAGGGAGTGAAGATTGTTCAAGTTTACAAAAGTCCAAATCAGCAGGATGTTATCTTCGACAACATGGAAAACAAGAATATAGATATACAGTACAGTAGTTTATTATGATCAGCCCTATATAGAACTTTCATTGAGCTGAAATTATACTGCTGAATTTGTTATTACAGGTGTGGTCACCAGTTCGTGTGAAATTACTCATTACTGACAAATTATGACATTATTCCCTGACCTATTAAGGTCTATGTATTTCTCCTTTCCATTACGTAATATTCGGTCATGTCAATTTAAGCCCATTTTGTACACAATTGTATAATTTTTTTTATTAAAAAACACTTTATTCACTTACAAAAAACGAAAAACTGCATAAAATCAATTACATAATCATTATATTTCTATATTATATTAAAAATTTCATGATTCTATTTAAGTTAATTCATAAATTTTATTTAAATAAGAAAGAGACTCATGTTACATCACAAAATCAAATTTTCTTAAAATGAAGAGGCAGGGAATTCAAAGTTATTTAAGCAAAGTAAACTGCACACTCTGAGAGAGAAAAATTGCTTATTTTTTATCCAGCAGGGACCCATTTAAAGTCATTGCATTTCTCATCCCTTCCTGAAACTTATAATGGAAACAGTAGAGTTTTGGCAGGAAAGCAGATTCTTATCGATGGTGTTTTTGAAAACCCGACTTTAACTCTATGGCAATATTTTGATATATGTCTGAAATTCCTCAGGCCACCTGAAGATGACAATTTGCAGTTAAAGAGAAAACATATCACAGATTGTCAATCCAGCAAAATTGACAGAATTATTTACAGTAAATAAAAATTATTAATTAATAAAACTGATTATTTTTTATTATTATTTATTATGTATTTTATTTGCAAATTTATTATTTTTTAATGTTATTTTAAATTTCTTCTTCATATTTTAATTTGAACATTACATTCTACTTTTAAGTTGTATTCTTTTATTCAATGTTGTTGTTAACTAAAAAAAATCAGTCTAACTGATCAAAAATGTTCTTAATTTTTATAAATACATTGCTAAGATTCAGTGGTGTGCCATCCTTGAAAGCGGAAGTGCCGCTTTCCTTGTATTTTCTAAAATATGAAAATAATCACACAATATGTATTTATATTTGAATGTATCTTATTACAAATTTCTATACTACACGTGAAAAAAAAAATTGATAAGATTGCTATTGTATATTCAAATATAAATTCGTATATAGATATTCCCAATGGAAGCGCTGTATTGCCAATACGGGACAGCTTCCACGACAAAAATATTTGAATGGTGTAAAATAGCCAGATTATAGGCATTTGAGCATGCACTTTACAGAGCACCAACCTCATAGTGGAAGCTATACATACAACGCTTCCAATGAATCTATCCAGGACCGATTCTGGGCTGTTAGCTGCCTGCCTGCTAGATATTTGGCCGTCCTCACCCAATTATGTGAATCACGAGTAGATTTATAACTTAACCCAATCGATAAGAATTTACTGATACGTTTTTATCATAGTTCTGTATAGTTGACAGGAGTTTAAAAAAATCCATTAAAATATTTGATATTTTTATTCCGCTCTCCGATTTTATATTACTCACGGATTTCAATGTTAAACCAGTGATATTACGATTTCGTATGTCCCATCTTTAAGGGNAAAAAGCTCGGTAGCCCAAACCACCCCAGGCTTTTGCCTGTGCATTCTAAGTGACTTTCATTACAAGCATTTAGCTTTTCGAAGTCTATGACAACAATTATTTGGCATTCACAGCCGCGAATTTCGCACAAATAAGCTGCCTCGACTTGTTTGAAGTAGCTTATTGAGTTGATAACATAATCGACTTGATCGATTATGTTATCAACTCAATTTCATATTTATTTTCACATTTTCACTTTGCGGTCCTTCTCTGTTCTTCTTCTGTTATTAGCACGTGTAGGTCATTTCATTGTTATCCAGATTTGATATCATCACTTACCATAATGCTCTTGTCTGAACTGTCAAGAATTAACGTGATTGGCAAAGCGTAGTGACAGTGGGTCAATAAAGAGCAGGCCATAATGCTTGCCATAATGCAAATTTTGTGCACCAATTTTTGTACGTGTGTTAATCAAGCCGAATAATTTGGCCGAATATTCAGCTATTCAGCCACGCTCCTGGCCGAATATACTATTCATTGCAACACTAATTATTACTTGTTCCGGTCTATACAAATTTTTTTTTAATTGTAAGACATTTACTTGAAATGACAATGTCAAAAATCACTTGGATCAGTTTTTTGTAAGCAACAATCAAAACTTTTATGAATGTGAAATCATGCTACTACCAGAAATGATGACAACATATATTTGACCAAAATGGTCAATATATAATTCAATAAAATATTTATTTATTATAAAAATATTGTGTTTTTTTGCACAGAAAAAAACGAAATTACTTTCCGAACAACCCAATACATCCCTCTCTAGAAGGGGCATAAAAAAACACCAAACAAGTTACATCATATAAAAATGAATGATTTTTTATTCTAAAACTGTAAAACTGTCAGCATTATATGAAAAACTATGATTATATGTTTAATTTCTTCATTTTGTCTTCTTTCTAACAACGTAAAATACTTTCGGAATTCTGAGAGTTCTTTTTTTATGTGTATTTTATTGTTATTTGATTAAAAACGCAGAAATAAACATATTAAATTTAAGAAACTCACTGTAAGTTATCCCAACTTACATCAATTAATATCTGCTTTGTGTGAAATTTGAGAGGAAGGTGTTATTTTTAAGGTTATAGTGGATGGTCAGTGTAGCACACTAACTACTACTTCTATTAATGTCAATAAGTTGTTAATTGTTTTATTGTCTTGTAAATGAAAATGCTCTTCCTGATTTTAAATCAGTCAAATTACAATGTTATTTTTTATTGTACTTGGAAGAATGTTTTCTTTAATGTTTAATTAACAACTAGTTTTGTTAGATCTGATTAATTTTATATTTTAGTTGCAGTTTAACTGGTATGCCGGTAACCCTGAGGTTTGGCATGTTGGGTCCCATTTTTATACAGCATGCTGATCATTTGATGAAAATATGGTATAATCATAAAAACATAATATTAATAACCTTCATAAAAACTCCTAAATTCGTCAAATAAATAATTCCAAACTGAGCTACAGTAATTAGCTCACCTTTAACTTAAAAATTCAAATGCATACATAAAATTCTAATAGTCTGAAAATCATAAACATTTTAGATTTGAAAGATTAAGTGTTATGACAGGGAACATAGTTCCATGATAAAACTTAACTACAAATAAGCAAAACAGTTAAACTTTGCTACTTCTATGATGAACTAACTAGCTTGATAGTACTAAAGCACTTTTTGTTATACAGTAAAACTTCTGTACGTTAGACACCCATAGGTTTGATAAGAAGGTGTCTAATTTAGACAGGAGTCCAAGATGTAGAGTGAGTAGTTTTTGTTCTGAAAGCATGGAAATTAATCTAGATTTGCAAGCATTGTGTGCTTATTCTGAGATGTATCAAGCAAACAGTATGTATGTGTTGAGTGAAAAAAAATTATCAGCTTATTCATCTTTCTTCAGGTACTATACAATATTAGCATTTTAAACACACAAACACAATCACTACCACAATCATTTAATCTTGCTTAAGCTTTAATGCTCTTTTAAATCATTATGCTGTAATTATCAGGACTAATAATCACACAATTGATTTAATGGGATTTGGCAATGCAACATATGGGTGATCTGCCAAAAAAAAAATAAATCCCTCCTGGAAAGAACTACAGAAAACTGGCTCCTATTAGATGTTAGACACGTGAAGAAAACTTGGAAAACTTCTTGTGCCAGCCCACTGAGGCATGAATCTGTGAGCAGTTGATCCAGTATTCAATGATACAGTATTATCCACAATGACCACTGGTGGGCAATAATCACATGAAGGTTGGATAACAAATGCAGATAAGCCATCAGTACTGTACAACCCAAAATCAAATCCAGACAGGTCAACAAATCCAAGTATTATTTTTTGGGGAGTGATCCATTTTGGATATGTTGGATGCTGTCTCTCATCACCTAGTAGCAGGCCTGGCTGAATCCACCATAGGCTCAAAAAAAAGCCCTGTTAGTACCCATAGAGTAAAGACAAAAATTTTTATATGCAATTTACACTCAATGGCTGATGTAGGTTCAAAATATTTAAAACAGATAAAACTTACAACAGCAAATGCCAAACAAAAGCTGCCAATTTTTCTCCAAAGCTAAAAAAAATTAGATAAATTTATAGCCATTGCCAGCATTTTTTGGATGCCAAAATGGACACCAAAGTAGCCAAACATAGCCCTGGTCTTCAAGAAAAAATGATGCCCAAGGCTATTTGTGGTCAGAAATGTAGAAAATCTCCCTAAATATCATAAAGATGGTGATTGTCATAAGTTTTCTTATAATCTTTTAACCTTAGATCACAAAGCATAATAATATAGGAACACAAAGTTTGTAAATTTTAAGACTGTTGTAAAACTACTTATATAGTGAGGCTATTGTATTATATTAATTAATCAGATCAGTTAGATGTAAATGATTTAATCATCTTACAATTTGTTACTGATAAAAAACAACACATTCCAACAGAATAATGCAAATTTTGTCTTATCTTGGTTTCCAAATTTACCAAATTCAAATTCTCTAAAATGATGAGACAATTAAAATATTATAAAATGTTCGTTATTATGCATCAATAGTGCATTGTGAGATGTTTTGCAAAATACTAGAATATCTCTAAATATATTCCAATAATTATTGGAATCCATATTTTGAAAAACTAGCATAGTTCTGTACACCAAAACTTGCCCCAAACTCTACTAAGCAGATAATCATAATTTTTTGTTAATTGAACATACAGAAATTATATAATTTCTCATTTAAAATAATTATCATTTAATGTAAAATTACAATTACAGTCACAATGTTTATCCAGGTCAAATAGAACTGGATCTGATCCAGATTAATAAAAATCCAGGTAAACTTAAATTAGTGAAGCATTGAAATAAAAGTCTAAAATTCATACTGAAAATACTTTTTAGTGATTGAAAATAAACTTGTATGCTTTACTAACCTGAAAACAACAGAAACAAAAAAATTACTCAGCACATACAAACAGTATGTATTTTTATTCTTACAAATGTGAGATTGTTACATATTAAAGTTGTAAATAATGTTTCAATAATCTCATCATAAAAAATAATTTTTCCACAAAATGTGTAAAAATTTTAAAAGAAATGACTATTTAAACCAATCTGGATATTTCAGAAATCTGAATGAACGGAGTTTGACTGTATTAATGTAATAATGTTCACCTTGTTTGAAAAAGATATTCAGCCAGATCAGCTGTTTGAAAACGGAAGACATGCTGCTTCTTCTTGTAGTCAGTGGCTTTTGTAGCAAGAGAATGATGAATACGAATAGAATTATGCAAACTATCATACAACTGGTTTTTCTTAAATCCATGATCGTCCTTGAAAAATAAAAATAAAACATATAAATGTAAAACTGATCGTTAGGAAATATAACATGACAGTTTAAAATAAAAATAAAAGTACAAAAATCCATACTGAACAATATGTATCATATATTATAGCATTAAAATGCTATAATGTGTGATTTTTTTGCCTTTTCAATTTTAAATACAGTTGAGCCTACCTAATTTATTCATTTTTCTTCACACAAAATTTTGGACAGATACAGGGGCTGGTGGGTTAGAGAAATATCAGTGGTATCAACAGAAAGATTTTTATTTTGTAAGTAATTTTTATTACAGTAAGTCTTGTCATCATATATACACTGGATATAGTATTAACATGGAAATCATCTTAGATATCATTTTAATTATCATGGATACATTTAACAGAGATATGGTTTACATAAAGATTTTTTAACTGACTCAATTTAAAAAAATCCTTAATTTTTGCTTGCAGTTTTTGTGTTTTGAAACTAATTCTCTTGCATGCCATTGCATGTAAGCAATTGCCGTGATACGCAGTTTTGCCAATTTCTGCTTCTGGAAAATCTTTGAATTTCACCCAGATACTCCAGCAGTTTTCTAATGGAAAGAATTTCAGGATTATCTTCTTTATCAATGTCATCTTATGGCATATCCTTGTTTTCTCTCTGCACAAATTCACAAATTCATTGAGAGTCATCTTGCCAAACTGGTACATTGTCTTCAACTTGAAGGATATCATGTTTGAACTAAAGAACAATCAGTAACCAGAAAATTGGAAAGCTCCTGGACTTTTGGTAAGAACACTGTCTGATTTTCAGTGCCATCAGGATGTGAGAGGCCAATATACAGGGTGGACCAAAAAGAATATACGTATTTCAAACTGATATATTTAATAAACTGTAAGACATACAACTATGGAACTTGGGACACATATTTATGAAACTCTCTAGTTTAGATTACAGGTGTTCAATATGTCCTCCACCAGCGACATGAATGGTCCGGGCGGGAGTTCCGTCCGGGTGTCCGGGAACCGGGGTCCGGGTGGGAGTTCGGTCCGGGCTTCATAACTAACCTGCGTCTCAAAACATGCCAAACTGTTGTTTTAGGCAGCTGCAATTCCCGACTGGCACGACGTGTTGATTTTGAAGGGCTACGTTGGTAAGCAGCTTGAATCCGTGCNTTTCTCGATAAGGCTGTTCAGACTCCTTAGGCATTGGCACGGTGGACATCTATGTAGTACAGTCTTAATGACTTGGCAGGCTCACAGGATCCAGAAGTCTTCTCTCAGGTTGGTGAGAACCACACTAGTGCCCAGGTGCCCAAGACATAGATGGCAGTCCATGATGAGGAGATGGGTGAATGTGTGTCGGCGATCTAGTAGAATTGGATGAAGTGTGGAAGTGCGGACATCTGCAAATTGCAGACAGCCTCCTACTCTTAGGATTCCATTGGATAGGAACGGGTGGAAGCGGTAAATGGGTAATTTTTCTGATATAAGTGTACTGGAGTTAAGTGCTATTAACTCGTTAGCAAAATATATTTTCTGGACTGATCTGATCCAGTGATCTCTCACTGAGTTCACTTTGTATGCTGAGAGCTCTCTTGCCCAGTGATTATTCTGGGGATGGGTTTTACAAAGTGTAATGAAGCAGAGGATCCAGGCTGTTACTTGAAGGAGGCATGTGTAGCTACTGAAGTGAGTTGCATCTAGCAACTCAATATGGGCTGTAATGTGCAGGGTGACCACATGTTTGCATTCTTCTGGAACACAATCTGATGGTGTAGCGTGGTCATTGGCTGGCCAATATTCTTCTGTTTGTGATAACCATTGGGGACCCTGCCACCAGGATGTGCAACTGCAGAGATGTTTTGCTGTCAGGCCTCAGGACAGGTGATCAGCTGGGTTGTCTGTGCCGGGACAATGACGCCATTGATTTGGGTTAGTGATGCTTTGGATTTCCATCACTTAATTCTGCACAAAGGTCTTCCATCAATTAGGGTGTCCACGGATCCAACCTAAGGTCACCTTGGCATCCAAATGACTGCTCCTTCTTTGGATCTTTGAACCTTCTTTGGACCTTCGACCTTTGAAGATTGGTTTCAGTAGTAACGTATTTTTGTAGGTGACAACCCACTAAGGCTGCAAGTGTTCTAGACAAGATAAGGTAACCCTTTTGATGGGGCTAGATGAGCTTTGCTGCAGAGAAGACATGTAGAGGTGCCTAATGAAAGATTGGTACGAATGTAAATAATGACACCATAGGTACGTTTGCTAGCATCACAGAAGACTTGTTGAAGCCTGTTGTTTGTTGACTTGTTGCTGACATGAATTTTTGTTAAATGTAGGTCTAGACGTGTTGTTTTGATCCATCTTGGTATGGACACAAATGACAAGTGTTGTAGGTCTTCTAACCATTGTTTCCAATGAGTTGAGATATCTGCTGGCAAGACTTCATCCCATTGGAGTCCGTGGAGCCAAGTGTGTTGGAAAATGATTTTTCCTGTAATGGAGATAGATGCAAATAATCCAAGAGCGTCATACAAGCGAGATGATGCGGCAAGTAGCAGGCGTTTCATACTGGGGTGTTCCACAGCATCTGAAACAACATCATTGTAGTCTATGAGAAGTTCATCCTTTAAGGTGTCCCAGTCTACTTCGAGTACTTGTGTTTTCTGAGCGTATGCTATGTTCCTGTCTTCCCACAGCTCCTTCAGCAATACATAATTGGTAGCCAATTTCGTCATGGGAAGGTGGATCTGACCCATCATATCTCTAATGTCCTGATATATTTGTATAACAGTGGGGTCAGTATGGTCTCCTGCTGAGAAGTTGTCCATATATAGACCTTTGTCCAGTATTTGGGCATCTGAGGGATGGCTGATTGTGGAGCTGGCTATGAGTTCCAAGAAGGTGGCCAACAGGAGAAATGGACTGGATGCTAGTCTGAAAGGCAGCCTTTGGAATCGGTAGACAGCCAATTCCTTCATAGTGTGTAGCTGTCCCCTTTCATCTGCAACCACCTTAAACCAGAAGAAGCAGGTGACATCTTGGTCATCAGGGTGCAAGATTAGCTGGAGATAATGTCCTTTTGCCACTAATGCCCTTTTGTGAAGACGAAAGCGGAGTAGTGTTACTATGATGTCCAGCATCAGGTTGGAACCCACTTCCAAGGCATCGTTGAGAGCAGGATGCTCTTTTGCATGAGAAAACACATCGAATACGATACACCATTTGGCAGTATTGTGTTTGGTTCAGATTGCTGTGTGGTGTGGCAGGTAGTAGATCTGTTGTAATTTTGCTTGTTCATCAATCCATTCCACATAACTGTTGGAGTAGTTGAGAATGTGGCAGGTGTACATATTGCTGAATTTGCAATGTAGGGCCTCAAAATGTCACAGAGCAGTTGTGCGGTTTGTATCCTTGAGGAGGATGTTCTGTTTCCAGAGCAGACAAACCTCTGCCCTTCCTCCCTTGATCCAGGAGTGACAGAAGCTATCGAGCAGATGTGCATCGTGGTTGGTCAATGACTTCTCTTCTGACTCTTGGATGCCAAGAGTGTCCAGATCCCACATTGATCATAGTATTGGGTCCAAAGGGGTTGTAATGCTATTAACATGGACTGGGTGAATTGAGATATTAGTCCGGTTGCTGTTCAAAATCCAGCCAAAATGTGAGGGGACTAACATCAGAATGTCATTTATGCAGATGAGGCTTTCAGTTTTGACAAATCGCCAATAAAAGTAGGATCCAATTAGTATTTCAATGGGTAGATCACATGACTCCTGTTGTGGATCTGCAAATTCTAGTGGTAGTATCTCTTTGACTGGATATGCAAACTGTGATACCATCAAATGAGGGAGATACATATTTGAGAATTATGCCACTATTAAGGATATAGTAAATCTGCTGACACAGCTGGATAGAGTGAGTCATACTCGACATATGATGTGTAGGTGCTGGCATCTGATTCAAAGGCTTGAATTGCCAATGGTTCATATCCAATCATGTCCAGTTCTAATGAGTCAATGAGAGGGATGCCAACAAAACTCCTTTGGCTTCACAGATCTAAGACACATCTAACTTGTCTGGCAGTACCTTTCGCTCCATGAATCCAAACTCAAGCTGTCTGTAGATATGTAAAGTTTGAATGTACTGTACATCAATTTTACTCACTGTGGCTTGAGATGTACTAATGGTTGAGGGAACAAAAACTGGAGCGGATGTTGTGAGTTGGGTTGCATGTTGTATCTGTCTGTTAGCTGCGATCATCATATGGGTCTGCTCTGTGTTGGGTTTGTCTCATATATCGAGATATGATGATTGCTGCTACATCGTTGACATGGTTAGTTTTCCTTGTCAGGGGCAGTTATGAGCAGTGTGATTTTGGCCTAGGCACAGAAAATAATGGTTAGTCTCATGCAGTTTCCCTGCACAGTCTCTCAGATTTGTTATAAGTGTGCAGTCAGAACTGAAATGGTGGAAGCCGTTGCAGAAGGCACACAGAGGATGGGAGGATCCTCTCCCTTTGGTGTTTCTTCTTGTAGACTTATACCTTGTCCAGACTGCTAGAGTGGCTGCCATAGCTTGGGGTTCTTCGCTTGTGATAAACTGTTCCTGTGGTCCGTGGATAGTAGCTGCGGTAATAATACAATTTATTTCATTTCCCACAAACTTCAGCAATTGTTCCAGGTCAGACTCACTAGTTCACTATTACTCTTGTGATTGGCATGGACGAGCCATCATTCACACAAGGAATCTGGGAAGGTCCAAAGGATTTTTTGGTATTAGGATGCGCCATAGTGGCTGATGGGCTCTCTCAGGGCTTTCAGAGCATGTACTCTATTCTTGCACTCAACAAAAAGGTTGTTCAATTTGGCAGCTGTAGGACAGATCAGAGGTTGCAGACTCTTTATGTAGTTGATGTGTGCCTGAATTATACAGTTCTTATCTCCGTATTTCTTCAATAGTTTTGGTCTCAGCATATGCCCCTGCAGTTATGGCTATGCCATCTACTAGGTGCTTAGCCTCTCCTTGGAGACATCCTTGAAGAAAGACATACTTCTCAATGTCCGGTATGTTACAATCCTCATCAATAGCTGCTGTAAACTGTTCCCAGAAGTGTTGCCATTTAGCAATTTCACCTTCAAACGATTCAAAAACCAAGGCACGCAATCCAGTGCAAGTGGTCACCTGTGGTTGACTGATAAGGGAAGGGGAGTCTAGACTTATGGGACTTGCCGTAGTCAGGTTGGACGTGGCATTTCTGCAGTCCAGAACTCATTGGACTCTAATTACAGCAAGTCTGGTGGATTCTTCACTCTCTTCATAGGCAGCAGCATTGGTTTTGTATTCCATGTCCTCAAATTTATATTCATGTAATATCTTTAATTCCCTAAGCCATTTGTTCAACACGTTGCGGGACAGTTCAATTTTGTCGGATGGCGTTGAGTCAGAAATGGTGTAGACCTTGCTGATCACATTTGTCATGGACATTCTTACGGTATTGTGGTGGTGTTGGAGCTTGCTCAATTCCTTGTTGGAATTTGAATTCATTCTGTTCAGAGATGTCTCGGTCATATTTCAGTCAATGATGACAGTTGAGTAACAAAATCAGTTCTGCCAATGGAGAAGATGGGGCAATATGGCAGATGAACACATGTGGCAATATAACAGTAAAGACATGTAGCGATGAGCAGAATGACAATGGAGTAGATAATGGTAGTACCAAATAAATTTCTTACCTGTTGACGTCAGTTCTATCCCAATTTCATGTTTGAAGTTATCAATAGTCTCGCTTGTGGAAGCGATGGTATGAGCAGTAATGTCCAAATTAAGGCAGGAAAGTTCTTGATCCTCATTGAGTTTCACTAATCCTGGTCATGGCACCAATATGTTGTGACTATGTGCAATAACACAGACAAAGGGGTGAAGCTGTGAACAATACATTTATTGTCCGTTTGGGATCAGTTACACTGTTAATGGCAGGACAATGGTCCAACTACTCTCTCGTCGCGTGACTGACTACTAACTTTCCTTCTCACTGTTGAGGGGTGTCCTTGTTGTCACATCCCTCACATGAATGTTTAACATTCATAAGGAAATTACTAAAGTGGCTAACATCAGAATCACTTATAGGAGGAATCTAATCTTTGCATTGATCAGAAAATGATAAGGACCCAGTAGAGGAGCACTTCTCATCGGGTGTTTATGCTATTCCTTTGTATGATACTTGTGTAGACTAGTCATTGGTATACATTGGATTCATGGCTAGGTTCCTTGGGATCAGACTAAAGGAATATGTACTATACATGATGTTAGTAAGAAGTTCTCCAATATGGCTTTGGCAGCAAATTTTTTTGGATGGTGACGTGAGGGTGGATTTTCAAGGTGTATGTGGGGGGACCCAGAAAAAAAAAACCAGATTATTGTATAAAAACTTTATTTCTTAACTTTTCTACAAAATTTTTTCAGCCACCTTCAAAGTACTCTCCATTAGATACAATGCACTTGTCAAGTCTTTTCCCCACTGTCTGAAGCATCTCTGGATCTCTTCAAACTTGATATTGTCCAGTGCCCTTAGAGAAGCTGTTTTTACCACCTCCACATCATCAAAATGCTTCCCTTTTAGAATTTTCTTCATTCTCGAAAACAGAAAAAGTCACACAGGGCTAGGTCTGGTGAATACAAAGGGTGGGGAACGACAGGCCATCCCCGAAAGGCCAAACAGTGGGTCACTCATAAGGCTGTGTGTGCGGGAGGGTGTTGTCTTGATGAAGGAACCAGTCACCTGATTGCCAAAGTTCCAGACGTTTCCTTTGCAGACATCTTTAAACTTTAAACTCTTGCAGACATCTTTAAACTTTTTTGGCAGATTTTTTCAACTTTTTCATCATTTTGAGATGTTGAAGGACACCCAGAACTTCGCAGGCGGAACAAAATAACAGTAAGAGAAACACAACACTATTCTCAAACGTAAACCTACAAACTGATACCATCTGCACAGCTGTTTTGTGAAGGTCTCTACTAACCCCATCTAACGGGAGAACTCTCTACTACGTCTATGAATGGCAGCGTGCTCTCAGTTTGGTTTTTTTTTTTTTTTTGGGGTTCCCCCTCATATATCTACTACATTGGACTTCAGATCCCGTTTATTTGAGATATTTAGAGATTTTGTTAGGAACCAGAAGACAGTCAATTTTAGAGAGATGTAAATGTCTCTATAGCATGGAGAGCATGCTACAAACTTTCCTAGGATTTCTGTTCTATGTAGATACTATTATACTCCTTGCCTTCAGGCAATTTAAGTTAAAGTTGTAATATTTATATTTTTAAAGTTAAAAAATGCAATTTTTAATTTCCTGTTTGTTAAATTTCTGTGTGTTAGGTTAGTACACTGTACCAATGTGCATGTGCAAGATTCAAACCACTTTAAATCTTTATATTTAAATGTGTTCGATTTCTTAATGTTATTCTGTTCAGTATTCAGTAAGATATACCTGATGATGATTGTTAGAAATTGACAAAAAACATTTGTATCATTAAATTAAATAATTTTAATCCTTTTCCTGATTTTGGGTATATTTGTGTGTTTTGCATTGTTTTATTGTTTTATTTTCAATAATTCAATTTTCTTGTCCTATTATTTGGTTATTTATTTCATTATTTTTGGTGATAGTTTTGATAACTGATCATTAAAAAATAATAACGTTAAAGAATATTTTCTACAACAAATGTACAAACACTGATTTTCAAAAGAATCCACTTCATTATATTTAATTGTTGGAGAATTATCAATCTTATGCAATGTTAAATAATTTAATTACTAAAATGCATTATTATTTACATTACAATTTTTATAGTAATAAAAGTTTATTAAGGTTTTTGTAGAAAATACCTTATGTAGATATAAAACTAAATCTCTCAAAGTAGCATAAACCATCTTCCAACCACGCTTTCCAAGTGGAGCTATTAAAAAAAATTTTAATTAAAAAATCTATTAATCTATTACTACTAGTACTACTGCTACTATAACAAAAATAATATAATGCTGACAAAAAGTATATACTGTACATTGAAAACAAAAATATAAAAACATCTAACTACAAACAAAAATTGTAATACTAAAAAGTTAACTAAATAATTATCTGAACTCTAAAATTTAAATACTGTATACAACAGAAATTTGGAAAGTTTATAATTATTGGAGTTCATTATCAATCTATTAAATTGTATTAAAAAATTATTGAAACAAATTTAAAATAACTGTAACTCTCATGATACATAATGACGTAAATTTACATAGAGAGTGTACTAATGTTACATAATGTAGAACATATGTTAAAATTGTAAGAAATTATACTTTAAACTTTAAATTTTATTATTCTTCAAGTCGATTGCAAATCCACATCTAAGAGTTCACAGTCATTTTCAAAAAAGAATCCCCCTAGACAGAAAACTGAAGTGCACAAAACTAAAATAGTGCAGTACAGAAACAATAATAAAGCATGCAATGAAGATGATTGAGCATATGAAAGAATTAAGAAGAAACTGAAATCATAGACAAAAATTAACATCTAATTAGTATTTCTAAAGACTTACAAAATTAAGCATGTTGTAACAAAAAGAAAAAAACATCAACAAAAAGTTGGAAGAAGAATGGAGTCAAATGACAGTTAAGAATATAGTTTGGTATTTAATTTTAAAAATGTTTTAAGTGTGAAATATTCAAATAATACTAAAAAATGTATTTTGATTTTTATTACTCTGTTCAAAAAAATTCAGAAATAGTGTATAGTAATAGTATTATATACTTAATTTTTTTATTTTGAATATTAAAAAATAGATTATAATTCATCTTCATTACAATAGCTTGACAATATCATCTTTACAGGTTCAAATAAGAATCCTACTTTGATAAAATAATCAAGTCAGTAGTATCTGTACAATTTTCATAGTTTTTCTAGAAGTGGTTATATAATTAAACTTTAATATACTGTTTAAATACTGAAGCTAGTGTACCTTCTTGGATATCTTTCTTCTTCTTCTTGTCAAAATATATTATTAATGTGTATCTTCATTTACTAATACGAATCAACAGAAATCTTCACTGTCCTCAATGTTTTATAGTATGGTGGAATGCCATATTCCGTGTATATTTTTTTATTTTATTTTATTTTATTTTTTTATATTGTTATATTTTCTCTCTCAATTCTATCTATTCCTCTTTATTCTTTGTTTCTTTTGTTTCCCTGCTTCTAGAACATTCTTACCCAACCTACTTCCAAGGGTGAGAGTGTAGGCAATGAACAATATGGAGAAGAGAGCTCTGAGGGCAAAATCCAAGTGGTTAGGACACTTTTTAGCAAGGCACTGAAGAAGTAAGATGTGTTCAAGATGAGCTCCAGGTCATTAGGGCAGTATCAGGAGTGATAGAGTGCGACCTTAGATATAGGAGGTTAGCACATATAAAATAGGATCAAAATCAGAATTGGAGTGTGGGAAACCCTTCAGAAGCAACCTCAAAGTTATTTGGGAAAATGAGAGAATTAGGAGAATATTTTGGAAGGACATTGTGATTGGATTCAAGTTGCCTCATTGAAAGACATGTGGGTATCCTCTTTCCTAAAAATTCTTCTTTCCCTCCTTAATCTTGCTCTATCTACCTGTTTTCTGTATTTAGTATTAATTAGTTTAAGGATTTAGATTTAAGTTAATTATATATGCGATAAAAGTTCTCCCTTTTTTGTATGTGCTGCAAGTGTAATATATGTAATCCCTGTGTTGTGGTGATACGATTTTGTAACGTAAGATACAACCGTGTAAAGGAAGACAACATTGGGGAACTGTACCAGAGTTGGGACCTGGAGTTTTGTTTTTTCTGTTCAGACATGGAATAAAGTTCTTTTGTTCTTTTGCACTATACCTTTATTATTATTCCAGTCATGCTGAATACCACAATAGATTCCTTTCATCATCTACTGACTGACATCCAATTTATAAAAAGGTGTTACATTAACGTTTATCTATGTGCAAAAGAAATTTTTCCAGTATTGCATGAATACATACATAAGGTATATTAGTTCCACTGAGATGTTTACAGTAAAATAAATTTGTTCAAATACAGGACTTGTGCAATAATTTCGAGGCAATACATAAATTTTCCAATCTGTCCTGAGAATAAGGATAATGAAAAAAAATCATTATAAAAAGATTTGATGTAATTTACAAAGAATCATGAGATAGTCTATGTTGGGTTTACATAGGAATTCAGTCAAGGCTACCATGTAAAAACAAAAGTTTAATTCAAAATTCTCATTACAATTGTAAATAACTGTAACAAAAGTTCTGAAGTTAATGGTTATGCACTTTGAAACTATATGATACACTCTACACTTGAGCAGAAAGACTAGTTGGCATGTAGTTTATGCCATAACTTTTGCAGATTTAACATAGAAAAGAAGAACATCCGAATTCTGTTACTCATCTTGTTAGGTATATTAAATACTTGGATTGGATGTCACGCCAACAGTTGTGTTAATTCAATTAGAAACTTCAGATTAGGAGGCATTAAAGAGAATTAAAAGGAATATTTTAATCTTGCAAGTGCTTTCAACGTAAATATATACATCGTCCTCAGGCAATTCAAAATCAAAAAGAAACATAACTATTAACTTCAGAGCAAAAAACAAACATAACTATTAACTTCCTTTGTGCCTGCGAGGTGCTTTGAAACAAATGGAGAAATCTCTCCTCTTGAAATGTAACAAAAGTTAAATCCACAATTCCTTAACCTATATTAAAACTACAAAAGAATGGAATAAGAGAGAGGGAAGAGAAATGATAAGGATTATATGGAAAAGGTACCTCAAAGCCCAAATTGTAATAATGCTGTAATATTTTTGTATTGAAAAACAAGAATGGTATGATCTTGGGTGATCCTTTCTTTCATCAGTGAAGCTTTGTACAATCTTTGGGATTGCTATGACTTCTTTGGGATTGCTATGAAATCTTCCTATCCCTTTCACTTATTAAAAATAGCTTCCTCAATCATCTTTCTACATACACACACAAAAATATCCATTTTCTTCTGTCCACCTGTTATACTATACACTTCCTCTCTCTGCTCCCACTGAGTTTATTGCCCCTCTAGGCAATAAAGTAAATAGCAACCAGAAACAAAGATAAAGTTCTAGAAATATTCAAAACAACAACTATATCTAAATATATTTACAAGTAATAGATGGCAGCAATTATCACAGGATCTCTGATTGTAAAAGATAAAAACCAATATTGCATAAATTAATACAAAAACAGTCAGCTTTATTTTGTTATAATACTTGTTAAAAACAACTGCTTTCAGTGACAGTACAAAGATGTAGATGATTGAGAGTGGTGTTATAGATAGCATGCAGCATACTCGATATTGTTAGACTTGATGTTGCTTGTCAGAGATTAGTAAAAACTGGTTAGACTTGTGTAACTGGTTATATAACAAAGAATACACAAAGATTACACTGTCTTGACTCACGGAAGATCAGTGCTAAAAAAGAGGAGAGTGAAATGAGGTCACTGTCTCTAACAGCTCCCAGAAAGGTCAACAGCGCCACTGTGGTGTTCGTATGGATGAGACAGTATGATCCACAGATGAAACACACAGAAAGGAACTTGCGACAACTACTAGAATATACACTTCCTTTTATTTCTCTACGAATAAGTTCAGTTTTATAAGGAATCCCAACTGATTTGTAAGAAATTTTTACAATATGAGGTGTATTAAACAGAAAACCTTTTGTTTCACAACAAAACACGATCGTAAAAATATCTGGGCATGTAACAATTAATCTTCTATAACCACATAACTAAAACCTAACTTAAGGCTAACTTAATAGTAAGGAAATGACAAGGGAGATAGGACAGCGGGAAGGTAGAAGAAATGAAGGGGTTGTGAAGATGTATAGCGCGGACAGGAAAACACAGACACGTTTTTCCAATGAAACAAGTTTAATTTCGCGCTAACATTAATATATTTACAAAATGAGTTCGGATTCCCGCTGTTACTTACAAACGTTCCAAAATCCCGAGCGACCGGATATACCAATATACTGGTAGTTACTTTTCCGATAACTATCTCTTGACAAAAGTAGTTGCGCGCGGAAACTTAAACTAACTTAAAACTAAAATAAACTAGGAGATAGAAAAGATAGAAAGGGGAAATAAGATGAATTAAAGGACAGAGGGTACCCGAATTTCCTGGTAGTTCTCTACAGTTCCTCGTCTCGGCTGTTCTTCCTTTTAGAACCGTTTCGGTCCGTTTCGGCGTTGTCTTATAATCGTCGACTAAATTCTTCTATCAATGCGCTTCTTACGGCCTCTTTCTGCAGCGCTCCTCCGACCTTTTGTTCCAGAGCCTTCTGCCACACGTCTCTCTCTCTCCGAGTCCGGCCTAAGAGTGCCTAAAAACCCTTTGTTTTCCTCGCTCGCAGACCCGTTTTCGTCTTTTGTCTAAGGCTACCCCCTGATGGGTTAGGGGTGAGGCGAATTCTTGGAAATCCGAGACAAAGGAACAAAGAAATCGGAAGGAAGGAAAGTTCTAGAGTTTAAATTAAACTAAAACTATACGTACTAATAATAATAATAATAATATTAATAAAAGAAAAACAGGCGTGTAGCCACAGGGTAACTTCACCCGGGCCTTTCCTTTCTTTCAGTTGATATGCTCTTTGGGTAGGATTTTTCTTCAACAACGATGGCTCTCGCTTTCACTATTCTTAATTCTCTTTTCTTTCTGGAAGTTCTCAAATATGCCAGTTGTCCTATCTTTAATCATGGCGATTCCACTTCCTTAGGATGATTTTCGACCTATTTGGAGTCGTCCGCAAGCCTATTATTTGAACGTGATTCCTCCTCAGTCCCTTACCTGACTATCACAAAAATTCTTTTTGTCCTCACTACAAAGTCATACTCGG